TTTACTATTGAAGTTAAAAATAAATTTACTGAAAAGTTCATTTTCACCAAGTTGACTTACATATGCAGAAATCTGGCTATCTCTGGCTGACTTAAATATCTGGGACCAAAGTTTATTAAACAGAAGCTTATTTTATATAGTATTTTATGGTGTTATTTTTCTTCTAATGACATACAATTGTGATACACATGTCAAAATTATTTTTATTTAAAATGTTTGCTGTTGCTTTCCCTAAAAACACAGTTGTGTGAAGAGAAATTGATAGCTACCACAAGGAAATAAATTGTGTTGGGATGTAAACAGGGACTTTGCTACTTTTTCATTTGAAACTGGGCCACAACATCTATAAAGTCAACATTTATAGATCAAGAAGTAGATCACTAGAAAGAAGCTTAACATTAATCCTGTTGTGAGAGAACTCTCCTGAGGAGTGAGGTTCAGTGAGAAAATTCTGTTCCCAGTTCTGCTCTGTGTTGTATAGCAACTCTTTAATAATAAAGAAATATTTGTAGATCAGAATCATGGTCTTCTCATTACTACATTTTTTTTCCAATGTGCCTGTCTCTCTTTCCTTTTCTTGACCCCAGTGAATCTTGTGACTTGATATGAGAGTGCTGCACAGTTCAACAGTTGGAATCATTTCTTGAAAGATGGAAAGTAAGCATTTGAATTCTTTTCAAGTCAAGGGATGTCATTAGCTAACATCTCTTTAAACAACTGTTTGAATACCTTTTTCTTAGATGCTAGTGAACTTGCCCAGCTTCTTCATAGTGTTTAAAAAAAAAAAAAAAAAGAAAAAGAGAGAGAAGTTGATTTAGCAACTGTGTGGAAAAGCATAAATTGCTAGAATGCTTGTGTTTCACAAATATAAGATTATCTTAAAGAACAATGAAATATCTAATCTACAGAGAGAAATTGGGACCTAGACATTAAGTCAAGAATGAATGTGCTCCTCCACAAATTAAAACAAAAACGAGAGTCTGGAATGAAGAAAAAGAGAAGAAGAGAAAAGATCAAGTTCAACAACGTTCTATAAACCACTAAATTATATTGTAAAATTTTCAGCTTCACTAACCTCTCTTTCTGTGATACGTTCTAATAGTTAAAACATGGAACCATATTTTTTCTTGGCAGAGAACCACTTGGAAGACTTTGTAGATCTATGATTCATGAAATGTTGTGCTCTTGAGTCCTTGACTTCTGGTGTTTGTGCCTGCTTCTGTGAAAGGAGAGTAGGCTTTACTGTGCAAAATGCTGGGGCCAGTGTTCATTGTGAGCCTGGTAAGAAAGGTGCTTTAAGCAAAGATATTGCTTAAAATGCCACTTATTGGAACTAATAGAGAAGGAAAAAGAGAATAATGCTCCTTCAGATGCTGGAAACCATGCAGCATTGAACATGAAGTCATGGCATGGCACTCAGTGCAGATTCTGTCCATGGAGAGGTTCACCAGCATTTTGATCTGTAGAGCTCTTATAGGATGTTCTAAGAAGGAAACAATTTTATTCATTATTTTTACTGTTAACCAAAGTAAGTTCACATGAGTTCACTTGTAGCTTCTTTTTAATGTTAAAGAGAAGGATATTCAGGTTGTATAATCACTGGTGGCAGCTACTACAGCCTTCTCCRTTTTAACTAACTGTCTAAGTTTATCCTCCACTCAAGAGGTATGTATAGCACAGAACAGCTCTGAAAGTCTGCAGYGTAGCACAGCAAAGCAGAGCACAGGCTGGTACCTACTCAAGTTAGCTGTTATGAGGATCACTAACTCCCTGATATTACTGTTCTCTCATCTAGTTCCTCATGTACCAGGAACAGGCTGTAGATGTACCAGGTGTGCAGGCTGTAGAGGACTTAGGCTTCATACAAAATACCTGAACTTAGGGGTGATTTTATTATCTGCAGTATTTTCCTGATTAATTTCTGTTAAGGTTTTTTTTGTATAAAGCAAAATACCGTGACACATTTGTCCTTTTTTTGTCATTTGTGCAGTTTCGAAGAATAGGGACATATGTACAATGGCRATAAGGATAGCTTTTGAATCACAAGGACCTAAAAAATGTCATGGCATTATGGAGTATTGTGTTGGTATTAAACTGTTTTGACAGAAGTCTGCAGGATTTTGAGAGGTATTTGGCAGGAATGATCTCTCCATATTCTCATGAATTACTTCTGCCAGTAAATGCAGAGAGACATCCTCTTCTGGAGGACGTCTTGTAATGTCTCTTGCACTCTTCCTCAATGTGCTCTTTTCTTTCCTGGAATCTCCATGAAATATTGACTAATAACCAAAGCACCATCTCCTATCTTGTACATTTGTTTGAGACTTAAGATTATAGTGTGTGCATGTGCCCTGAGCTCTTTCTCTGCATTGTGGTGATAATGAAGTGCAACCTGCCTGCATCTCTACACCTCAGCATTGTTGGAGCAGGAAGGCTGCTGCTAGAGCTATCTGTCTCCTTAGAAGGAAAGAACTCTGGACAGTAGAGACAAATGGTATACAGTCTGACTAAGCTTGCAATGACGAGAAGAGCTGATATTACGGGTAGTGAAATATGAAATATGACTATCAGAATCACCAGAGTGAAGAGCCAGGGTGAAAGAAGGAGAGCAGATGGATGTGGTCTTACCAGCCRTAATATAAGGACAAGTATTATTATAATAGAAGGTTTCTAAAACCTTCCGTGTTTAAGTCTTATTACTCTGCGTTATTATAATCCATTTGGGATGTGAAATAAATAACCAACACATTTTTTTTTTCCCTTGAAATGGAATCTTAGGACTGGAGAAAATTTAAAACATTAATTATAGTGTTTCTCAATAGAAAATCTCATAACAGCAAGGACTTGCATACTCCCATGTACAGAATGAATCTATGGCCTTGTACCTACCATGAGAGAAAAAAACCTTCCTGTCTACAAATTTTTGCTTTTTTTATTTTTTTTTGAGTTATTTTATCATTATCTTATTACCCTAATTTGTCTGTTGTCATGGAACTTGCTCATCTGCCCAAAAGCTACTAGTTATAGTGTCTATGGTATGGTCTAGTTTTCATACTCAAAATTGCAGCTTGAAGGTACTAGCAGTCAAACACTTATTCTAACCAGTTTTCTGAGAAGTTAAAAAATTAGAGAAGTCATACAGTTTGAGGCTCAGTTTCCCATTAGCAAACATTTTCTGCATCCTTTTAGGACGGACACAATGATTTAACATACTACTCTGGACTCTGTTACTTCCCTAGTTAAAATGGCAACAACTGCATGGAATTCTGCAAAATATCCAAAGGTTAAAAATGGATGACTTCTTCTCTGGCCCTTTTTAGATACTTCATTGATGTCAATAAATGGTTTTAATTCCMTATTCTGGACTGAATTCCAAAATATGCAAACTATATAATGCTGAATGCAATAAAATAGATTTATTGTTGGTCTTTTAGTTTCCTTCTCTGTGAAAGTAGCCATGAATGGAAGATTTGACAGGGAGTTAGGACAATCCAGTGTTTCTTCGGTGCAAGTGTGTATTAAAGAATCCTTGGAGAAGGCTAATAAAAATTATTTCTTGAGTGAGCCATTGAGTGTATTTTGGGAGCTGCATTGGTCTGTAAATTTTTTCATTAATCCTGAAGACTGTCTTTGAATCCACAATTTGTAGCACAAATGTCTTGTAGTTGCTGTTGGCTAGGGCAAGCTAAGCCAATTAAACTCATTTTAGGATACTATCAACAAAAACAATTAAGAACAAGTCACAGGGTAGTCACAGGGTAATGTTGTTGTAATACTATCTAGGCATACTTTGATTTACTGTTTATTAGGCTGGGCTCTGAAATACTTTGAATTCCATGTTTGTGGTCATAAATGCAAATTTAATAAGGAAAAAGAAACATTTCTATTTTTTCATGGCTTACAACTTATTTTTTCTTTTGAAATACACATTTTATCTATAACATACCAATATGTTTGTGTGTTTTCTGTGTGCTTTATATGTCTTGTTCAGCACACGTAATGTGTGACAATTTTCTCTAGATAAGGCAAAGTCTCAAACATTTCTGTGCAACAGCGTTTGACTCTTAATTCTATTTTTTATATATGTAGAAGACCTACATTGCACAATTAATTTTTTTTTCTGTTTTCTTTACATGAGATGATAGAGTTTAATAACACACCTCAAATGTGATATCAATGTAGCTAGGAGTTTCACTGAGTTTGGGATTGTTTTCTTAATATATTTATGTTTTTGCACTATTCCGTTACTTGAGATTGTACCAATAAGAATATAGTTATTTTGATACTCAATTTAATTTACTACTTGGAAAGTGCTTTTTTCTTTTTTTTTTTTTCATTTAGAAGCAAAGACATATAGTATGCTTTTTCTTATTGTCTCAGTGTTCATTGATTTGTTATTGAATTCCATATATTTCAATTACAGGCTGCAAAAGCCTACGTAGAAATTGGAGAATTTTATATAACGTAGTGATGAACATAACAGTTTTCAATTTTAGATATTGAAGCAATGAATTTCTGCATTTTTCTAATAAAAATAAAGGGATTAAATTCTGCAGAACATACTTAAAAATACATTTTAAAAATCAATGTGACTATTTCAAATATACTTAATGTTTGTTTTTGTGTTTAAGGGGAAAATGTTGCAATGTTCTTTTAAAATCATAATTTCCTTTGGGTTAACTTATTTGTATTTGCTCAATTTTCCTGAATTGTATAAGTCTCTACAAAGATATCAATGACACTTATTATATTATGGGAGACGGTGTCAAAAGCCTTGCTGAAATCAAGGTAGACAACATCCACGGCTCTCCCCTTGTCCAGCCAGCCTGTCACCCCATCATAGAAGGCCACAAGGTTCGTCAGATATGTATCTACTTAGCACTTATGAAACATTCTTAAAGTCTCTATAGACAGAATCTTTAGTCTTTTTAGACTATAACTTTTGCTTCTGGACTATTATATATTTCTTTAAAGTGAAAATATCATCTCTTGTTTTTCAGGCTTACATATATGAGCTACGTTCAAGCACCTTTTTGCATAAGTTGGGAGGGCACACAGATTCTGTCATCAGTGTGACTTTTTGTCCCTCATCTCCCCAGGTAATCCTTTGCCTTTTTTTCTTCATAATTAAGATATTATAAGTTCTTTACTGTGAGCTTGTTGCATGCTTCAGATTTGTCTAATGTTAATTTAGGATAGTAACAATGTTTTGTGATCAGTAAATTAATGAAATCTAGCTTTTTCTGGCTTTGCTTTTGCTTTTGTCTTTTGTCCCAATTAATTTTCCTCTTTATGTTCCAGGACTTAGTGAAGTTACTGTATGATATGTGTCATGTCCCWTGTGATCCTACTCAGCCTCTTTCAGTATGTCACTTTAAGTTTCAGCATGTCATCTCACGCCTCTCTCTTGTGTCATCTGTTCCATCTCCAGTACATAGAAATTTTAACCACTCCTTAGTGCCTTGCCTAGTTTACATTAGTTTGTTTGGGCAAGAGGCAATACTTCATTCATCCAGATGTGTGTTTATAAGCCACCCAGGTAGGAGCAAACAGAACGGATAATGTCTTCCTTTTCAGTACCAATTTGGATATTTCCATTCTGTGAGGGAAAAATAGAAATGAAAAGCTGCCAGGTTTTCAGAACTTGACAAAAGCTATCTAGGAATTTAAGAACTTCAGGTTGAATTTATTCAYTTTGAAAGGTTAACTTTGAGTTGTGTGGAAGTAGGATTATACAGGCTGTATAATTTTATTCACCCTATTTCAGGAGGAATCCACCCTAAAGTATATGGCATTTTAAAATCGATTCTCTCCTCTATTACATCTGGTATTTCCTTTTATTTTTACCTGAGAAACATAATCAATCCCTTTACTCATCTAGGAATATCTGCCAAGTTGCCCGACAATGCAGCTACTATTTAGAATAATTCCTTTGCAACTTTATGTTATTTTTTCTCCTCTGTGCTTCTAATGTGGAAAGTACCTTTTAATTTTTTTCCTGTTAAATTATATAAAGATGTGTTGAAGATGGCTATATCAAAAAAGGTTAAAGCAGTTTATGAGCTCTAGAGGAATATAACATCCACTGTGGAAATGCTGTGATAACACGTCCTACTCACCAATGAGATTTGTTGCAGACACTATTAAGAAAGCTATTAACCATTTTTTTTGTATCTTAGTGATCTACATAAAAGTGTTTTTTCATATACTGTTGTTCTTCACACAACTTTGTCAAYTAAAAACATTAATTTGTAGCAGTTGATATACTTTGTGCTACAAGAGAATAGAGAAGCTCATTCATCATTATTTGTAGTCATCTTAAATACAAGCAAGTGATAAAGCAGCTTTATGCWACACAGCATGCTGAGGTGCTACTGATTCAGTTATGCTAAATGCTAGTAAAACTGATATCATATGTTGTTTTCCAGTTTTTAGTAACTCTTAATTTTATCAAAAGAAACAGACATAGTTTAAAGAAGTATTTTATGGCTAACTCCACTTCTGGAAAKATTTTGGAGTGCTCACTCAATAATATGTTTAAGTTACTCCTTTAGGAATTAACCTATCAAAAAAAAATCTAGTTTATATTGRGTCTCTTGGTTTGACCCTTAAAGATTATTCAGAAATTGTAATTATTTTTTTTAGATTCATCAAGAGATCTTTTAATAATGTTTTATATATATATATATACTAGTTTGACTCTTGTAAATCAAATATGTCCACTACACAGACAGTTATATTTATAGTCACATATCTTAAATTTCCTTGGCATCAAGAGTCAAGTATAATTTTTTTTTTTTTCAAAACTTCTGTGCTGTGAACTCAGGAGTCCTGCTTTTTTTCAGTTCCTAGAACCATGCAGACATTCTGGGGAATTTTTAGCATTTTACCTCTTTCATTTTTTCTTCCAAGGTTTAAACTTTGAAATAGAAAAAGTGGTACTTCCTTTTTTGAGATTATTTTGAATATTAACTTTTTTTTTTGGTCCACTGGTCTTTGAGTCTTGTCATATCTTACCTATGTGAACCAAAAAACAAGTTATAGAAATAACCAAAGATTTGAACTATATGCATGTATATATACACACATATACATGTACATATACATGTGTGTATATATATACTCCTGCACACACACATATGTACTTTTTGCTGATTTAGAACATAAACTTTTATTTCCTGAGGTACGTTGTCCAGAGGATTATTACTGTGTATAGTTCTATAATAAGCACTGTTATATACACAAGTAATATGCGCGCACACACACACATATGTTCAATCAAGAAATGGGTATACGTTGGGAACTATGATATCTTCTTCACTACTCTCATATTTATCTGCCAGTATGCTGTGCAGTTGTATTTTAGACTGTTCATCTATGTCCAATTATAGTGTGGTTATTGTGCCAATGATAAAAATCATGCAGAATGCAGCAGCCTACAGAGACAGATGCTGTGCCTCATTGCCTGCAAAGTTCTGGCAGGGAAAATATGAAAATTTGTACTAGTTGGCCGTTGAAAACGGGGGCATCTACATCAAATTACTTGTGCAGACTTTACTTTAAAGATAATAATGTTCAAAATACCACTGTGGAATGAACATTAGCTCCTCTCAACTTCACTAACTCTACAACAGTGGTTGTACTTGTTACTATTCAAAAATATTTATGGAACAAAAATAAGTTCTTTACATCTGGGTATTTTTATATTTTAATCTCTCTTTTTTATTCAGTATGAAAGTAAATGTACTAACATTTCCATATTTTAAATTTTCTGACCTTTTTACTCCTTGTATATATGTTTTTTGAACTAAAAAAATGATCAACTACTATCATGTGGCAAACATCATGTATTTCTGCACTTTGGAATCAACGTTGCTATGATTAACCAAAGTGGACAGTTTAGCAAATTGTACATACAGATTAAAATTAGTTTAAAGTTTAGCACTGAGCACAGCTTGGCAAAAAATATGCTATTACATAGCAGAGAATAGAGCTGGCTTCCTATAGGTGTCCTGTTTTATAGTTCAGCTGTTTGAATACATTTTAGTGGAAAATAGTTCTAGAGAGTAATAGTTCTAGTAATGTTCAGAGGCTTAGTTGCAATCATACCACCAATCAAGTCTTCAAAGTAACAAAACTCATCTAAACAATCGCTGATCAGAGGAGGAGAATCAGCAGATCTGAAGTATGCRGTAGTTGTGGGTCCAAGCGAGTTTAGTCTAACTCTGAAAGTTTACTGCAGAGCACAARATACTGAAATTTGTAGAGCATTACACAGTTTAGTACTGTGGTTGAGAGAGATTTTTTTTTATCATAAAAAATTGGTTTAGGAGTAGTATTATACAATGGCATGAGATGAGAAAGTGAATGGATGATGGCTCATTTGTTGTGCCACTTTGCTGTTCGCTACCTCGTCTACCACATACTTCCTGTTTGGCTAAATGTAAAATWTGTGAAATTCAAATGGCTACATTCTTCCTGGGGAGGCACCTCAGAAGAGCTGTGGTGCACAAACCTCAAACAGTAACTCAAAGATCTACTCTTCAGCTCTGTCAAATGCTACGGAAAGCCAAAATCAATTGATGAGAGAGTACAGATCTCTGCACATAGCTTTTTAGCCTAGAAGCTAAAAGATTTCCCAGGTAGTGAATGATTTCAAATCTAATCTCTCATCAGCCTGAGAGGTTTCAGATCTGCTCTTTAGGAAAGTGCTATAACTTCCAAGTTAGGTTACATCCTGGATTAACTATTCAGAAATGGTTCTTCTAGAACTTGAGGTTCTTCAGTGGCATTGGAAAGATGGAAATATGTCCATTTTATGGATATGGATGTATCCATGTATGTATGGATATGGATGGATATGTACATATAGATGTATATGGATCCATATGTGTATGGATTTTATGGATGTTTATGTGGTCTAGTGGACAGCCAGCAAGAGGCAGATTGAACTTGAGACCAGTGAGGAAGCAATATTGCTTTTTTTCCCCTTATTTTCTGATTCCTCTTCTTACTGCTATATATTTTTATGTATATGCAAATGACTGTCAAGTTCAGGGACCAAAATCCTTTTTCTCAAACTCATTCTTGAGGAGGAACACCTGTGGATTTGAACCAGCTTGCAGACTTTTCTAAGGGAAGATTTTGAAACTGATGATTTCAGCAACACCTTACCAAATAGCAGGGAATGTGCAGGGAAGCTGCTCGTTTGAAGAATTATAGCTGAAATGCAAATATTTACACCTGTACACAAGAGACATTYGGTATTATAAGCACCTTAAAATTCTTTCTAAGTGAGTAGAGTTTTTTGTATATTTGTTTATTTTGTGATTTGCTGAATAAAATTATATTCAACTGGTCTTGGCAATGTAGGAGTTAGCACAAAGTTATATATAATGACAGGAGAAAGGGCAGGAGGAGAAGCTAAGAAATCAAAGACGAAGACTGTAGAGTGGGGGAAAAAAAAAAAGAAAACCACAAACAAATCAAAAAATGATCCTATGGCTTGAATGAAAAACTTTAAATTAGGTAACCAGAATCTCCATCACTAGAAGATTTTTTTTTTTATACCAACTACTGCCACTAGTTAAGGATTTTAAATTGATCCTATTTTGTTTTGTCCAAAGTTTAAATGAATACAGTTAAGAATTATATTGGATTGTGACTAACCTCTACATAAAGCCCCACTGGGCTTTATTCAAAGGGAGACACTGGCAGGGGACAGAAGAAGGAGTGAAAAAGGGAAGTGGCTGATGAGTGAAATTCAGCATCATGGCTGAGCTTTCTGCCATGGAAAAATGCAGCCAAGAGTGAGGTATTGGCAGCACTTCAGTTCAATGGTTGCTTGCCCAGCACCTGTCCGTGAGGCAGTTTGTTCCAGCCATTACTATAACTCTCACTTTCATAAATACTCTTCCAGAAAAGGAGGGAAAAAATCTGGATCATGATGTGTTTACTGGCAGGGGGCACAGTTCCTTTTATCATATGCTACACTGTAGTGATTTAGAAAATGGTTGCTATGAAAGCTGCAGATGGAAAATCAGACAGGAGTGTTGGATTTATCTTAGAGTTTTATTTTCAAATTGATTTATCAATTCTA